TATTGGTGTTGTTAGTAGTATGCTAATGACTCATCTCTCTGAAATTTAACATTGTATCAAAGGGTTGATTGACTAGGCCTGAATTGAGCATTTACCCTTACCAAATATACAGTGTTCACATGTTTGGCCTTTTACCAAATATATGGTGTTCACATATTGGGCTTGAATCCCTACCCCTTACCCAATACGTGGTGTTCACGTGTTGGGCTTAAATGATTGACTATGATGTGGACTTGGCTCCACGTGTGTCTCACTATGTGGTGATCCCCAGCGGCCCACTACTCGATATTGTTCCCAATGTTACCACCTACAAAGCCCAGTAGGTGTGAGATTTTATCACAAAAGGTCTCGGTGTTATTAGTAGTAGAATCATTCATTGTATTTTGTATTTTATTTAGTCAAGTTTCCGATGCGGGACTCATATTCTTCAACAAGTTAAAAATTGTTTGTTGAAGTTTTTATTTAATTGTACTACCAACACGTTTTCACGGTTTTCATTTTCATAAGATGTTTTTTTAAATTAAGCTACCAGATATATTTTTGAATCCTGAAAATGCAAATTCATTTTCTGAAAACATTCTCTAAAAATGTTACCAGACGGGCCCTAAAAGAATACCACGTATTGATATTCTTTCATTATTGTATCAATACGGGGCATATTGGTTTAAGATGAGGCTAATCTCCTTTTTTATAGTAGTTTAAATTATTGCTTTATAAAAAAGAAGTAACAATTCCAAGAACTATTAGGATTTATCATTTCTCATTATATTTCAAGTCAAGATACATGACTCAACTGCTACGACTTCTTCTATTGGAAACAAGTTCATCTTTTCCCAGTGAGCGAAAACTTGTCACTTCATGATGTTCACATTCACAACAAAAGCTCAAATTGTTTAATCACCAAAGAACCGCCGAAGACTCATTGGAAAGGAAAGGAAAGGAAAATAGCCTGTCCAAAGTATCCTCTGTCCAAAATACTCACTCTAAGTCTAGCTAGTTATTTCTTTTTTGGAGGTTGAAGACTGTGATTGTGTGACCAAACTAGTGCAAGATACAAAAAATGTTCAAGGGTTTTTAACTAATAAGGACATGTAAGCAGATAAAGAGTTAGTCAAGTTGGTTAGAGCGGATGTGCTCCTCACTCATGCATCCGAATTCGAATCTCCCTCTCTATAGTTTGGATTAGTTTAAAATAGATTATCACTTATAAATAAGGGAGCTAATTTTTCCACTTCTATTTTGTCTACTTATACTCCATTTATTAGAAATTGTACATTCTCACCTATCTTTTGTCTACTTACATTCACTTTTTTTTCTAATAAAAAGTATTAAAAAACAAAAAAAAGTGTAAGTGGACCAAAAGGGAATAGGAAAATCAGCACCCATAAAAAAATAAAAATAAATAAAGAATTGTAAGGTTTTTAAGATAACACTAACACGAACCTTTTGATATTTTGGGGTTTCATCTGGGGACTGGTTATGATTAGATTCTTCATCATGAATATGATGAGCCGGAGCCTTGGGAATATAATGAGCACTGGAAAATAGATCCACAGGCTCAGAATTAGCAATTTTGCCTCCCTCAAGAGACGTCCCATGCTTGTATTATGTAACCATCACAGCCTCATCCTCGTTTAGCTTCGCTTGTGAAGTCCTACACTTCATGTCATCTTTTCTCTTTGCCATTTTCACCACATGAGCTAAACCCTGTGTACGGTTTTCATATGCTTTCATTTAATTTATAAGCTCTGCTTTGAATCAATACGCGGCAGATTGGCTTAAGATGGGAGTGATAAGTGTATAATTAAACTGGACACGTGGTCTTGCTTCAACCAAGATGAGATGCTGCAGCGACAGTGTAAACAAAATAAATAAGACGCATGCGTGTCTCAAAATTTGCACTCTCTTTCTGTCTTTTGTCAGGTGCACCACCTTTATTTTATTTTATTGTTTTTGAAAACCAATAACCTTCACTCTTGGTATACCTCGATCTCTTCTTCCTGTTTATTTTTTCCAAACCTTCATATCTCTCCTTCCTTTCTTCCCTCTTCTCTGTCAATTTATAATCCTCTTCTCTCTCTCTCTGCCCGATTTATTAATGAAGATGAGATGGATCCGAGGTGAGGAAGACGAGGCAACAACAGTTTGTATTGTGTATTTGTTTCTCTACTGGAAAAAAATGTAAGAAAATAGTTGGGCTTAGTAGCCGGTCCAAACTGAAAAAACCAGAACTGACCTGGATTTGAATCGGTCTGAGTTGGTTCGGATATTCTTTTTAGGTTTCATAAAAACAGGACCGAACTGGCCTGATGAATTGGGACAGTTTCGATTTCAGATTTGAGTAGGAACAGGTTCAAACCGGACCATGCCCACCCATAAATAAACTAATTCTTGGCATCAAGTTATATAAGATCATAAGTGAAGATTAAGGATCAGTTTGACATTGCTATGTTGTGAAAATAATTACTTTAAGATTTGTTGTGAGAGAAATTAGTTGTAAAGGAAAACAATTTAGCGTTTGGTAAACTAAATAGTAAAATTAATGTTAGTACAAAAATCAATTTATGAGTGTTTGGTAAAATTATGTGTAAACGTAATGTTAACAATTTTTTTTCCTTTCTAAACTAGTGAAAATAACACTTTCCCTTATTTTTTCGGAGCAATAACACTTTCACTTTGACTTGTACAATTCTTGTGTTAACTATGTTTCAATTATAAAGTAATGAAGTCATTATTCATATAGCAATATCTCTCCAACATACATAATATCTCCAAATGTCATGACCAATTACAAAACTGAACATATGTCCATTAATAATTTTATTTACCACACTATAGTTTATATCTCCATATCCAACAGTCAATTCCAAATTAATTGTCAATTCCCATCGAGTCCCGTCGAGTATACTCCATGCCCATCATCATCATCAATTTCTTCTACTCTTTTAATTTCTACTCCTACTTGCATTATTGAATATATGCATTCCTTTCCTTTTATTTTTAAGTTAATTTAGAAATTAAAAGAGTAAAACAAATTGATGATGATTGTCTGGGAGATTTGGTCTCTTCCTGATTTTTTTTTATAAAAAAATTATCTGAGTCTCTTCCTGGTTTATGTACATGATTATGTAGTGTTTTGGGTTGCTAGTTTCATATTGTTTTCTCAAACCTTTTGGGAGTTATATAATGAAGGTTTCATTCTGTACACCAAAAAATAATAAATAAAATAGACACATCAAAACCAAAATAGGATGACAGAGAGACATCACCCAGATACAAAACTGTAAAAACGTAATAAAAACCAAAACAGAATGACATAAATATCACCCAGAAACAACCCCAAAAAAAAGTGTGAAGTGCAGTGTGAATCCTAGAGAAAAATTATGCGGCTCATCCTTAAATCTGGGTCTCACTAACATTATAGAAGAAAAGTGTGAAGACATTGTTAGATGTGGGTTATGTGAAAATTAAAGAAGAAAAGTAAATTTTTGTTCTGTGAAAATTAAAGAAGATAATAAGAGGAAGAAAAAAAAATGAGGAAGGAGGAGAGATTTAGAAAACGCATGGGAAAAAGTATAAGGACAATGGAAGTAATATCTAAAAATTAGAGAGGTTAATTTGGGCATTTTAGGAAACTTCATTAAAGCACCATTGGTTCCTCACCCGCTTTCCGCATAAGGGGAAATATAATCACCCATTTACCTGCTTCTCCCAATAGTTGTTAACGACAACAATTCTGCTTGAAAGCAGATTTATGTTTGGTTATGAGGAAATATAATCACCCATTTACCTACTTCTCCAAATAGTTGTCAACGACAACAATTCTGCTTGAAAGCAGATTTATGTTTCATTTACCAAACATGTAGATGGAAGAAAACTTTCAAAATTAGTGATTTATGCTCCAAATAAGCAATGCCAAACGGGCACTAAGCCTTTTTTCTTATAATGGATTTTCTTTATTATTATTTTCAAACTTTTGTGTACCAAAAATTGTTTGAGGGCTTTCAACTAATGAGGACATGTAAGCAGGTATTGACTTAGCCAAGTTGACAAGAGTGAATGTGCTTCTCACTCTGCACCCGAGTTTGAATCCCCCGCCATAATTTAGATTAGTTTAAAGTAGGTTATCACTTGTATAAAAAAAATAAAAAATAAAATAAAGACTTGTAAGAGAATTGTAGGGTTGTTTAGATAACACTAACACGAACCTCTTGATAGGTTTGCAACAAAGGAGAGCATTAAACGTGTCATTATTCTTGTAAATGGGTGATGACCCATATGTTGAAAGTGAAAAACAATGTTGGAAGTGAAACACCAAGTTTTACGGAGAGTTGAAGACTTTTTGTCTCACGCACTATTTACATACAGCAAGGAGTAAATGTTATGGTTGTCTATACCATCCATCTATAAATTGAGGCAATAATCTTCAGGCTTCTAGTAGAGACCTCTAGAGAGAGAAAAAAAGAAAGAAAAAAAGAGCCTAGGCAGAGAAGGAAGAAATAGGAGAGCGAGAGGAGAGAAAAGAGAGCAGAGAGAAATTGTCCCATAGAGAAAAATAGTGAGCCAATGAGAGTGTAAACACCAAAGTTATATTCCTTTTGTAGCCTTATTATTTTACATACTGAAAAGGTTAGTGTTGATGTTCTCCGGGGACGTAGGCACAACTTGCCGAACCTCGTCAAATATTATATTTTATTTACTTTATGTGCAGCCTTTATATTCCAGCACCATTCATTTATTATACAACAATTATAGATTTTTCTTTCTCGTCTATCAGTAAGATCTTTAGTTTTCTCACAACCAATGAGGCATAATAATATGAGCAATATAATATTTATTTGATTATATTTCTTTTCATGAAGACAACAAATTCAATAACCATCTTCTCACAAAACAATCGAAAGTGATTATTCTCACAGCTAGCGCAATGAAAATAATTATTCTTACAACACAACAATACTAATTAAACTCCGACCAAACTCCGACCTCAACACATAGTGCTACATGACCCTTGGATTTACAGAAGCATATTTAAGAAGCTCCGGATTGCTTTCAAAATGCTCCATGATTTCTTCACTCAAACTCAACAATGCTTCTATTCCCTTGCCATCTCTTTTATCAATCAGATAAAACGCATCCTTACAACCAATACTAGGAACGCTCACCCATGTCGGCTTTCCCCATCCAAAATCGGCTTCATAAAACGGAAACCTACACCAAATTCCAGAGCATAAATGGTACATGTCAACATTCCCTCTCAATTTTTCATATTCTCGAGCCCTTTGCAATGCCACATTAGAATCAAATGGTAGTTTTGTAGGATAAGTTTCTTTCTGTTGTGCAATACCTTTACTGAGTTTGGCAACCAAGTCTTTTAGATCTATTGTCTCATTACTCTCTTCTTGACCTTTTAATGATGCTGTTGCGGTGACTACTAAAATACCAACAACGTTCCCAGCCAAGTTTTGTGGCAAGGGTGGCTCAAACCATCTACGCAAGTCCATAGTTAGTAGGAACGAAGATGGTGGTATGTTTGATGATTTGGATGATGCTTCCATTGCACATTTCCAAATGAGTGCCGAAACTACAAGGACTCGTGTCGGTGCATGAGGTGCCAAAGCGCTGGCCAAATTTGATTGGAGGGTGGCAATCTTTGAGGCATCAAACACAAATCTCTTTGTTATGCACTTGTCTTGTTTAATGATGCCCACCAGCTCGGCTGATGATGGCTGTGATGAGTTTAAGAAATCTAGTGGTGGAAAATAAGACGCAGCATCAAATTTTGGGACCATGAAGGGTACCTGATCATCGTCACCAACAGAATCAAGGGCTGTTTTGGCCCAACAACTGATGAAGGCGCTAGTTGTGATGCCATCAACAACCTTATGTGAAAAATTCAATCCTATTGCTATTCCTCCATACTCGAACAAGTTGGCTTGCACAGCAAGCAACGGGAGCCTCGTGGAAACACCATCATCATCACCGTCAGGTTGACCAATTGCTGGGACGAGCCCTGTTAGCATCTCGGGATCTGGATGTTCAAAAATCTGCGATAAGGAACATTTGACTCGGGCCGTCACGAACTCAGCTCCATCATCAGTGCATTGGATCATGTCATTGCCTTTACTCAATCTTCCTGCTAGAGGGTAGAAGTGAGTGAGAGTTTTAGCTAATGACCGAATTAGATGCTGACAATAATCTCTCTCCTTCATCCTCATGGCCTCCATGTCTGTAGAAGTAGCTCCACCTCCTGAACCCGTAATATTATTGTTGCCAGAATAGAAGAGAAGCGTTGGGATGTAAACGTGACTAAGAACCATCTGATCCAAAACAGAGAGCTGTATGGTTCTCGAGGAATGAGGAGTTGGGGATGATGGTTTAACTGTTTGCCTCTCAATGATTTCAACCTTGATCAAGTCTGTGGCCATCTTACTTTGTTTGCTATAGGCTATATCTAGCTCCAAATTAAACCAATATGACCGTTTGCTGTAGGCTATATCAAGTCTGTGGCCATCTTACTGCTCTTTATAGGCAAAAGAAAGGATCTGCAACGAATAACGTAAATTAGTATAGTATGCCAACTTCTTCTGTGAGTGATTAGTTTAGTTAGGTGGGATTTTATGAAGACGAGACTCGTAGTTTTGATTGGTGGCTCTAGCTCAGAGATTCTTCCAACCAAAAAAAAAAGCTGACAGATTCTTTTGTCTAGGATTTAAAGGCTCTCATAGTACAAGAGTTGCTAGATGGTTTGGTTTATTAATGTGTTGGGTGGGATTTAAATGGTTGCCGACAGATTCACATCTTCCATTGTTTCTATAACACATTGTCACTTATAACACATGTTCATTGTTTCTATAACACATATGTTCCTCACTTTTGGTATTAAATTGACAGCTAGCTAAACATCTGTATCTCAACACTATTACATTTTACACTTTGCGCGACGAAGAGAATTTCGTCACGCAAAATACATTGCAGTCGCACAAATTTCAGCACGACAGAAACTTAGTCGTGCAGAATTTGTCGCGCAAAGATCGTGAAGAAAGACTTTGCACGACGAAGATTTTTCATTGGCCGCTCAAAGCGACTTTGCGCGACGAAAAAATATTTGTCATGCAAAGTGACTTTGAGTGACGAAAAATATTGGTCGCGCAAAGTTTTGCGCGACGAAAAAATTAAAAAAATATATAATAAAAAATTCCCGCGTCCCATTTTTGTACCTGCCCAAATTTTTAAAGTTTTCCGCGACGAATACTAATGTCGCACAAATATTTGCGCGACGAAATATTTTGGTTTTTGACTTTTTGTTTTATTATTTCTTTAATATTAATTTAATTATATTAATTATTTCGAATTTTTACTTTTTAAATTTAATTTAATTGTATGATTTTTTTTCGTTACTTTAATTTAAATTGATATTTATTTAATTATATTAATTTTTTCAAATTTTTACTTTTTAAATTTAATTTAATTGTATGATATTTTTTAATGACTTTAATTTAAATTGACATATTCAAAATAAAATTACATATGAAAAATAGTGATCAAATTATCCAATAAATATATATATATATATAATATTAACAAAGTACAATAAGAAAATCCTAATACAAGCGTATTGTGGTGGTAGTGGCGGATGATATGTTTTGATAGCTTCCTAATCCTCGACTTTAGCAGTCAAAGTCTCGATGATTCCCTACACAAAAAAAAAAAGGTCAAATAACCACAAAAAAAAAGAAGAAGAATGGATAATCTCCCCTAAAATTGTTATACCACAAATCCAACCCAAACTCCAATCCCTCCCCTTTACTCAACCCCAAACCCCACACAAACTCAAAACTAACTCCAAAAACACATATTAATGAAAAAAATTTAAAATTTGGAGAGAATATACCTTTTGGCAAGATTGAGAGTGAGTGAGAATGAAAGAGAGAAGTGAGTGTGAGAGAATAAGAGAAGATGATGATAGAGAGATGAGAGAGTGAGAGATAGTGAAAAGAGAGATGAGAGAGTGAGTGAGAGTGAGAGATAGTGAAGAGAGAGATGACGAGAGATTAAGTGAGAGGAGTGAGTGTGAGAGAAATGGTGGGATTTGGGGAGAGGGAAAGAGAGATGAGAGGTAAGAGTAGAGAAAGACATTGAGAAAATGGTGGAGGAGTTATTTTCATTTAAAAACCGTATCACTTTGCGCGACGAACAATATTGTTGGTCGCGCAAAGTAATACCGCGTCCCATTTTTGGTACCCGCCCAAATTTTTGCGCGACGAAAAATATATATTGGTCGTGCAAAGTAAAAATAAAATAAAAATCCCGCGTCCCATTTTTGGTAGCTGCCCAAATTTTGAAATTTTTGCGCGACGAAAAATACATATTGGTCGCGCAAAGTCTAAACAAATTATATAAAAAATTCCCGTGTCCCATTTTAGTACTCGCCCAAATTTTTAGAGTTTTGCGCGGCGAACTGTTGGTCGCGCAAACTTTTGAGAGACAAAAAATTGGTTCATAGCACGATATTTATAAAAATAATTGCTATGAATAATAAAAAATAAAATTATTTTATTTTACGATTTAAAATATAAATAAGGTTAAAGCTACTTAATAAATGTATATACTATTCAATTTCTTAATTGTTATATGTACAAAATAAATAAATTTAAAACTACTTAATAAGTAAATAAATATATATATACACACACCATTCAACGATCCAACCATCAGACTTGTTTGTATATACTTCCAGATCGTATACCCCAAAAATCACAAAAAAAAACATTAAGAGACCTAGTAACGGGACAAAAAATTTCAACGGTTATAAATGAAAAATCACGATTTAACGGTTATTTTAACTTCGATTTTGATGATTTTTTACCGCTACACTCCTTGACCCTATATGAATATAATGAACTAATTCGATCGTCAATTGAAAATATTTACACTAGTGGATACCACAAACGACGGTTTAAATAAAAAAACGTCGTCTGATTATAATTTAAACGACGGTAATTAAATACCGTCGTTTTAGATAATTTATTACGTCGTAGAAAATAAATTCCGACGTCTAATGTGAAAACAAACGACGGTTTAAAGAAAAATATCGACGTCTGAAATGTGAAAAACAAATTAAAAAGGCAAAGTTATGAGAATATACCTCCTCGTCATGCTTTTTTCTTCATCTTGTTTTTCTTCTTTCTTCTCTTCATCATTTGTGTCTTCCTTTTTGCCTTCATCTTTTTTCTCTTCCTTCTTCCCTTCATCTTTTTTTCTTCCATCTTCTGTTCATCTTTATTTTCTTCTTTCTTCTCTTCATCTTGATTATCTAAAGCCCCAGATTTCTGTTTTAAATAATAAAGAAATATATATATATAGGACAGATTGTACAGAGAGTAAAAAAATTAAACCAAAACGTCGTGGTAAGGCATAACATAAGACGGTATGTAAGAATTATGGACGTCTTAAAATTATTAAACGATGGTAAATAATAAACGTCGTGGTAATTGTATATTACGTCGTTAAGGACTAAAACCGTCGTCTAAAAACCACAAAGTACGACGTCTAATGGCGTGTAAAACAAGTAAACTAAATACGACGTGGTATTTAAATAAACACGACGGGTTATTTATAAAATCGTCGTGGTATGGTTTTAAAACGACGGGTTTATTCATAATAACGACGTCTAATGTTTAAAAAAAAACAGAGAATTCAAAGTTCAGATATGTTACCGTTTCTTCCTGCTGTTCCCCATTTCTGGCAGTATCATCCTCTAAATGTAGGGATCTCACTTCAGCCCCAGAACAGCTTGCTTTATCAGACATTGGATTTTGGGACTTTGCTGTAGACCTTGGTTTTGACAGGGGCTAGTTTTCGGTTTAAGCATGCTTGGATCAAAATTGGGGATGAGGTGGGAAAGCTGACTTAGTAAATGTTCCCTCTCAACCTCTACTAATTGTTTGGTTCTAGCTTCCATCTTCTTAGTCTCTTCTTGAAGGACAATTCTTACACTTTCCTTCAATTGATCAGCAAACTTTACCCTTTGTGGTCTAGGTAAATTGAAGAATTGCCTAGGGGAAATCCCAGCACCTACCCCTCTTACTCTCCCTGGATGCTCGGGACCCAAAGCCAAGGTCAACACATCATTACTGCCAGATAAACTCAGACTGCCTTCAGCCACTTGTTTTTGCAATTCATCCTAAAACAAAGACATACAAAAAAGTCAGCACAAGAAAACACACGACGGTTATTTATAAACAAACGACGCATTATATAATTTCACACGACGCACCAATATAGAAATCGACGTTATAATATATTTATAACGACGTTAATTAAAACCGACGTGGTTAGTTGTTTAAAACGACGCAATAAATAAACCACCGACGTCTTATGCTGTAATTACAGAAAACAGAGTTGTGATTCCAGATTTAGATCTTTCACGACGTTTTTGAAAACATTTCGACGTAGTAATAACATTAACACGACGAAAAAAATTAACCACCGACGTCTTATGCTATAATTACAGAAAACAGACTTGTGATTCCAGATTTAGATCTTTCACGACGTTTTTTAAAATATTTCGACGTAGTAAAATCATTCACACGACGGAAAAATATAACATAAGACGTAATAAGAATTATACACAGTTTAATAAAAATTTAAAACAGAGTGTGTAGGCTTACATTTAATTTTGCTTTCTCTGCCACCTTTGGATCCGGGATGTTACCATGTTTGTCCTGTCTAGCTTTCTTCCATAAGGTAGATCGATCAATTTCTACCCCAGGCATGGTTTCCTCCAATTGATCCTCCAAACCAGCATATCCTTTTCGAGACAATCGATGATTGTACTCAAGTTTCTCCCTAATCTGTGAATGTTGAGAATGCACAGACTCAAATTCTTTGGATAACCTTGAAGCTACAAAGGCATCCCATTCTGCTTTCTCTATGAATTTATATACTTCAGGGGGTTGGCTTAATTTCTTCCTCTCCTTGATGTATGGAAGGATATAATGCCTCGTCAGTGTAGACTTGAAATCCTTCCATTTCTTGGCAGCAGAAGATAACACCGAGGTCTTGCCCCCTTGACCTACCACAAAAGCCATGTCAACGGCTTTCCAAATTTGCTCCTTTATATCATTGGGGATTTCAGCCCATTTCTTGTCCACAAGTGGGACTCTGGAGCGTGCCAACACACCAATGTAGGACTGCATCTCAGTATGTGCAGGGCCACATCCTTTCCCCCTTTTATTGTACTCAACAACTGGCTTGATTTTCTGCAATTTTCTCTTCACAACACGAGGCATTGTGCTCATACCTCGACCTGACTTTGAATCCTCAGAAATTGTTGTCGTGCTGCTTGGTTCTGTCTCAGCAGATGAAACAAACTTCATCTTCTTCAAGGGCTTGTCTTGAGGAGTTACCATTCCAAGCTCCTTAC